AGTAGCGGTCCTTATGATTAACGAACCTTATTTCATTATGAATAGTGACCCTCTTTTGCCATTATGAATAGCGGACCCGGAAGTACGGGAATTTACACGTTATGAATAGCGGTCCTTATGAATAGCGGACCTTATGAATAGCGGTCCTTATGAATAGCGAATAGACCCCCCCACCATTGAGCCACAAAAAATAGTGCTTACCCCCCCCCCCCCCCCCCGCCCTCAAAATGTTGCGAAATTATAATGAATTTCATACCCAGTCTGAGTAGCCTATGAGGGTAACAAAATCTCATTGTTATTATTATCATAAACTATAGTATTTTCAAAGATACCTCACCTTCTTATCCATTCTTATTTTCTTTACTTTTTTTCCTTCACTCAACTACAAAAGAAAAAGTGTTCACAAACTAATGACAATTTTGTAAATAATGTTGTGAACGTAGATTTTATATTCATGTTTGTTTGTTTATTTCTATGCCTTTCTTTTCCTCCATGAGGCCAAAAAGTTTTCCAATTAAGTTCAAGTTCAAGAAACTTGACTTGAATCCACAAATCAAAGCCGATCCGGGTGCGGGCAGGTGCATGTATAATAATATTAAAGCTCACATTTATAATGCGCCTACTCTTTGTTTCTAGGCGCAGTATACATTATTATTACCCCGGTCATCGGATTCAGGCTTACTCGCACACAATGAAGGCCTATGCACATGCTCCACTCCCTAGGTAAAATTCCGGCCAGTCGCCATTTTACAAGCGCTACTTTCTCATCAATCCACATTATCTCTCGCATCCTACTGAGTATCCATTGAAAACACCTGGGTGGAAAGTGGCAAATGTTGATTAACATCTTGCCAAAGGAGTGCCGTGTCGGGATCGAACCACGACCTTCAGATTTCAAGTCAAATGCTTAAACCACTCGACCACGACACTGTTTGCAGGTGAAAGGTGGACAGAGGTAGAAATAACCTTCATTTGATATTAATATTAATTTGTGTCAACCTTCCCCATGCATAGACGGCAAGCTTGTACGCAGGGGGGCGGGGGTGGTTTTTTTTTTTGGGGGGGGGGGTTCGAACCCCCACCCCCCCCCCCCCCGAACGAAGAAAAATGTCAAATTTTCAAATTTCGAGACCAAAAAAAAAAAAAAAAAGTGTCCTCTTATCCCCTCACCCTTAGGTGACCTTACCCCCCCCCCCCCCAACGAAGAAAAAATGTCAAATTTTCAAATTTCGAGACCAAAAAAAAAAGAAAAGTGTCCGTTTACCCCCCCCCCCCCCCCCCCCCCCCCCCCCCCCCCCCCCCCCCCCCCCCCACTGAGCGACTTTTCGGCTGGCGCGATTTTCAAATTTTCGGATTAAGTAAATAATAAAGCTGAGTCGTTGCGAAATTTTGGGCCCGATTTTAACCCCCCCCCCTTGAAAAAAATCCTGCGTACGCCCCTGATAGACGGAAGCCCTTGCCGCACACACACAAGGGGGGGGGGATAATTATCTCCCCTCGATTTTCTTTATGATATACTTAAACAGTTTGATTCAGAAAAATGGTGATTGGATAGAAATAAATATAATTTTCATATACCCTAAAATGAACATCGAAATCATTGTAAAACAATAAAATATAAAGACATATACTTTCAGAGGTGACACTCCCGGGAGGGGTGCACTCTTCCAAGTGAGAAGTACGACTTCCCGTTTCGATAAGTGCTCCTTTTCATCTCTTATGGCTTATGAGTGCCTATTTTCACCTCTGATAAGTGACACTTTTCCTTTCCATAAATGCCCCTTTTCAAATTTAAAATTCCTCTTTGAAAGTCTGATATTATAGATTATAGATGTTCCTGTTCCTTCAATAATAGTCCAAAATCCTTTGTAACAAGTGCCCCTTTTCCTATCATCTCATAAGTGCCCCCTTTAACGTGCAAAAAGTATACCCTTTTTAACCTCTGATTTGACTCGTTACTTTGACTTTGAAAATTGCAAAAAACATCACTTACTGTCACTGATGACAACTTCGTAAATTCATAAGTTTCATATTTTAAACGGATATTGCTCAAAATTTCACAAAAAAAGTTTGTTTCTCTATAACGGTTCAGTTTTTATCAAAACCTAGCTAAGCAGCCTATCGAGAGGACCTTCCTTTTAAGAAACACATTAATGCTGCTTGAATTTTCTAAGAGGACATGAATTCCACCATGACAGCATAGACAAACCTAACAAGCCTAATTTTAATTTTAAAAGTTCTATTTTGGAATTGAACAGCTTGAACATGTAACATTGCAAAAATTCTGCTCTGGAAGTCTTTGCAAAGCTGCATTCAAAGAGAGCATGCAATAATCCCCAACGGCCTAGCTCTCACATCGTGTATATAATAGGCCTATACGAAATGTTTCATCGTTATATGCCGACATGTATTATGCCTACCAAATATATTGCCCAGTCTAAATTTTGTAAGATTAATTGCATATTTTCTTGGGAGAATTAACAAAATATTTTTTGAAGACCAAACTCATTAGTTTGATTCTATATTTCACACGGGTGTTCAATAGTGTTATGCCAAATCTGAATATTGGTCATCTCATATTTACTTCATATTTGCTTCATATTAGTTTTAAACAAAAGATGTTACAGTTAAAACAACCATAACACTGGGGCAACCAATCTGATTGGTAGCCTTGGGGGGGGGGGGCTTGGAGCCCCCCTCCCTCCCTCCAGTGACAGGGGCGGCCGAGCGACTTTCAAAGTGGGGGGGGGGGCACCAACAAAAAAGGGCACTTTCTGGAAAAAAGGGCACCTACAGTGGGAAATCTCAAAGCGATATACAATTTTTAGACATTGGTATATACCCCTACATTGTGATTACGTTATCAGGGATGATTTCAATATCTGTTTCTCTTCATACATCATACAAGATATCGCTTAAAGGGACTATGTCCCATTTTCAGGCTAAAAAAAGGAAAAAGTTAAATTCCAACTGCATTTGAAAAGATAATACTAATTTAGAACTTCCCTAAAAAAGGTGGGGCTTGAAAATATCTTCAAGTGGGAAAATAACGTTCATAGTTGTCAAATCGACTTTAGGGCTATAGAGCCCAAAAGTAATAGTCTTGATTTTCAGACAATTGTACCGAATGGTCATACGTTTTATGCTGCGCAAAGATCCAATCAGTTTAATCTTGGCCATCACAAGAAGTGGGTTATTGATGTAGACAAATACTCATGTACCCTTTACAACTCTTTTCATGTATGTTATTACCAAAGAAGAAAAAAAGCCAGTCAGACACTCAATAGTGTCTGACAGTGAAGTCTAGCAAGTAAACAGTTTTCCTTGCATAATTTGAATATGAGGACACTGCTAACGTTTAAATTTCACAGATAGGACATACATGACATATTCATAATTCCTGCAAAGTTCTACAGCATTTGAGGTTGGCTGCAAAAGGGACATAGTACCTTTAAGCATCAAACTTTACAGTTGGGTGTGATGTCTGAATATGAATTTACGAGCGAGCGAAGCGAGCGAGAAAATTTTTAAAGATCTGTGAGGTCGCAGTGCGAAAAATTACATCTTATAAAGAGAAAAAAAGCCAATCGTGATGGGGTTATAAGCACATTCTCATAACGGAAGACTGAAAAGACCTTTAATAAGTAACATAATTATATAATCTTTAAATGCTAGCGAGCGTAGCGAGCGAACTTTGGGGGAAACTGCTCTTAGTCGCTTTAAATAAGGGGCACGTTTAATGATTACATGAAAAGGGGACAATTATCGAAAGGGATAAGACACTTATTAGAAAAGAAAAGGAGCACGTGTATAAGTACAAAGGATAATTATAAGAGGTGAAAATGAGGCATTTTTTCACTTGAAAAGAGGCACTCACCAGTGATGAAAAGGAGGCGTTTACGAAAATGGGAAATAGGCATTTGTTGACGGAAAAGGGGCACCCATCAGATTTTAATAGGGTCATTTATAAGAGGTGAAAAGGGGATAGGTCCCTTATTAGAAAGGAAAAGGGGCACGTATCATTATCAAAAGGGGAATAATCAGAGTTGCAAAGGGGCACTGACCAGATATGAAAAGGGGCACTTATGAAAATGTAAAAGGGGCACTTATAATAAAGGAAAATGTGCATTTGTTGAATGAAAAGGGGGCACCGTTCAGATGTTTAAAAGGGCAGTTATGAGAAGGGGAAGGGGAAGTTATGAGAAGGGGAAGGAGCTCTCTCTTTTTAATGGGGGCACTTATCATAAGGAAAAGGGGCACTTATTAGAAAGGGAAAGGGGAAGTTATGAGAAGGGGAAGGAGCTCTCTCTTTTTAATGGGGGCACTTATCATAAGGAAAAGGGGCACTTATTAGAAAATAAGATGGGTACATGTTAAAATGAAAGGTGCGCTCATCCGAGTTTAAAAAAGGGGTAGTTATTAAAAGGAGAAGGGGCACTTCTTACAAAGGAAAAAAGGGGAAGTTGTCAAAGTAAAAAGAGCACCTCTCAGTTTTGAATAGGACAATCATCAGAGGTGAAGGGGGCACTTATTAAAAGTGAAAAGGGGCACTTCTCGTACCTGAAAAGAGGCACTTACTAGAGATTAAAAAGGGCACTTATTCAAGATAATTTCAAGATTCATGAGAATGGAAAATGAACATTTATTGCAAAGGAAAATGGGAACATGTCGAAGGAAAAGGGGCACGTGTCAAAAATTAAAAGGGCACTCGTCAGAGGTGAAAAGGGGAAAGGGGCACTTTTACTAAGTAATAGGGGCATTTGTCAAAGTAAAAGGGGCACCTTTCCTATGTAAAAGGGGCACTTCTTACAAAATAAAAGGGGCACTTTTCCTATGTAAAAAGGGGCATTTTGGGGGTATCTGAAAAAGTGGGGGGGGGGGGGGACTGTGCCCCCCTGCCCCCCCCCCCCCCCCCCCCGGGAGGGCCGCCTTTGTCCAGTGACCATTCTGTAGCTGTTGTGATTTGTTAGAGACTGAAGCTTTCGGTCTATAAAGGTGAAAGGTGGTACATGTTCTGCAAACCGGAAGTGCTATTGTTTGGCTTCGTAAGATGTTGACCTTTGAGAGCGGCTGTGTAGTTAATATTCATTACGTCATTGGAAGCCGTACAATTGGTAAGGATGAAAGAGTTTTATAATTTTATTCAGGACTGTTGCGTTGTGAGATAAAGATATAATTACGGCCTGTTATGACCCTTTTATCTGTCTAAAACAAATGTATAGAATCTGACTGTAGTCCCGTTAACTGTATTTTGTGTATTGACTATTGTTCTACACTACAGCCTCAGGAGCAGACTAGAGGTCTACCTTAATTTTAATACAATACAGTTTAGTTTTACATAGCCTTAATTGGCACCCATACTGTAAATAGTCTACTCATAATTGGCACTCATAGTCATACCGATGCCATAAAGGATCCCCTGCATTTTCGCAAACGTTTCATAGTCTATTTCCGATCCGCGCGCTAGCGATGCGAAAAAACAGATTCAGCAATGATTTTCTTGATGTATTTTACATTGACTTTGAATTTTACATTGATTTAAATGAGCGATAAATCCTCAGGAAGACGGATAATCCTTAAAAGTAGACGGTGAACTACGTAAGGTTATTTTATGACGTGGAATCTGTATTTCGCATTTCCAGCGCATGGTTCTGGAACCCGAAACCCGCAGAGCGCCGATGAAAAAAAACGTCCTCGAAATTTCTGGAGTAGACCAAGTATTTAAAACGTTTTTTATTTTTCCCCCTTTATTTTGTATACGGTATGCAATAGATTTATACCTTTTACCGATTCATTGTGGGCTCCTAGGGGTCGATGTACATTTAGACGACTGGTTTTAACGGGTGTGGACTCGTGTATATTGGTATGGACATTGGAAATGATTTTGTGAATCATCATCAGCATTTTCTATACTTGATGAAATCTGCATTCAGTAACTGGTTTGACACAGACAACTTGATGCTCTATATTTTTACTGTAAGTTGGTTCATACATTATAGGTATAACAAAATATGATGTGCCATTATGTAATTAGACTCAAATAATCACTTATCTTTTAACCCTTTTCTTTCAGAAGTACATTGTAGGTAGGCCTACAAATACCTGAGCATTGATCCTGAACTTTAAGCTGAAGTATTAAAAACAAAATGTCTTCTTCCAACACTGGTACGTCTCTCACTCCGGGTTCCGATGCTTTCCTGGACTCACTTCTCTCTATGGTCAATCAGGAGGATATGATCGCTATCCTCAAGGCTCAGTCTCAGATGCTGGACCGCTTTGAGAAGACCAACGAGATGCTCTCCAACTTTAATCGGCTCTCCTCCAAAAGATACGAGAAGACATTTGAGCAGTTCAAAGAGCACACAGAGACGCTTCTCACTATGAAAAAAGATCTGGATTCTGTGTTCCGCAGGATAAGGTATTGTTGACAACATTCAGATGAAATATTGTTATGGGCTGTTGCTCACATCTAAGTATCGTCTTATGAGAGCTAGAAATGGTGCTTACCGTACTGAGATTTAATTGATGAGATAACCTTTTAGCTCTCTGCAGTCAATACATGAGATCAGAATTCACTTTTTGTACAAGCATTTTTCAAACAGTATCACGCATGTAAGCAAATGAGCTGCTTTAAATAATAAGTAAACCCGTCCTCAGTGGTAAATATTGGGGATCGACAGTGAGTAGTGCTGTTACTGGGAGCTACCAGTCCATTTGCAACTGAAAACCATTTCAAAGTTGCAAGCTGACCCTTTTTAATTTATTTGTTTTATAACACGAGTTCTATTTTCATTTCAATCATAAGCACAATAATTCATCTTTATGATCATCAAATTCCAACCTGCTGCAGCAACTACCTGCCTAATATCGTTTTAAATACTGCACTTTTTGTTTCCCAGGTATATTTCTCCTTGAAACTTTACTAAAGGGATTATACATGTACATGTACACATAGGAACACCCCTGCCAATAAAGATGTTGTACTTGTTTCCTTCTGGCAGCATTTGGTACATGTTTACCCCGGTAATTGTATCATGTTTGTAAAACGGTTGACACCCACTATTTACCATTCCACTTGTCTTTTCTTCCAGAAACCTGAAAAAGAAGCTAGCTACAGATTATCCCCGAGCATTTGTTGGTAAGTGGTTGAAGCAAGAAAGCTGCTTTCTCATCTCCTTCTACTCGCTCTCCTCCTCAATCTTCTTCTTCCTCTTTACCTTTATCTCCCTTTTCCCTCTCCCTCCATATTTTTCTTCTCATTTTTCTTTTTCATCTCCTTCCTTTCTAAATGCTTTTTTTGACTTGAATATCTCAATGTTGTTATTTCTCTAAAATTAAATTAAAAGTCAGTACCATTTCCATTATATATCTGAGCATGCATGTGAGATACTCTATTTTGAAGAATATTAGATATATTGAAATATGTGACATTTTGTAATCTCAAATACATAAATTTTACTGTTTGCAAAAATTGGATTTCACATTTTGCCCTACAAGATTAGCACCATTCAGTGTATAGGGTGTCAACTGTCTACATCGAATTCCATTATTTAATTAAAAATACTTGTTTTGAATTTTTTTATTCATTTTCTATAAATATTATAGTAAATGGAGGACTATATCCTAATCTGAAGATTAGTACTAATTTAATGTATAGACATTATCCTTTTCAAGCCGTCTGTGATACTTTTGTTTTCAATGTCCAAGCTGCTCTTGAAGATATCGTCCCACCTGACTTGGATGAAGAGGAAGATGAGCCTCAGTCAAGATTCCCACATTCTCCATCCAATCAACCTCCACATCAACCTCCTCATCAACCTTTGAAACATCCTGCTGCATCGCCAAGGCAACAAGAACTTTATCAACAGCCACAACATGCACAGCAATCGACTCAAGCTCAGCAACACCATCCGCCACAGCAACATCAAAAGCAGCAATTACCACAGAAGCAGCTATCCATGGACAAAGTGGGAAGGCCAGAATCAAAAGAACAGGCATCAAATTCTAAGCATGGAAGTGATGGGGACAAATGACAGATGTACAAAGATATTCCAATTTAATTTAATCTGTGTCCATTTCTGTGTTAGCCAAGTGAACTGTATTGCCATATCAGGCCTATTTACACAGCCCCAAAATCATTTTGAAAAACATTGCTGAATTTACACTACTGGAAAAAACAATTAACAAAGAAACAACAAATAATAAAGAAAATGTGTCGTTTGCTCCTTCTGGTAGTGCCGATGCCCGACTTGTCGCTGCTCTCCATGGATTAGCAAGGAAGTGAGACGAGTCATGTGACCAAAATCTGGAATCATTCCACGATGTTTGAGAGCGAGCATTTACAATGAAATAATCTGTAAAAACTTCTGCCGGCATTAAAAAAAAAAAACACTCCAGGTGTGTTTTTCAATATGGGTTTTTTTTTGTCGTGTTTTATGGTAGTTGCCTAGCAACTTCGGACAAAACACAGGAATGTGAGAGAAATCTACAATTTTGGTTGCAATGTTAATGCAGCTTTTGATGCCATTCCAGCTTGTAATCATTGCAAAATTTATTGCTAAACGATGAGTGTGGAATGAATTCTCTCTATGGCCATCCCAACATTGGAAAGCAATACCTGAACTTTATGAACTAGGCACTGAATAAAGGGGATGGGATATCTCAATGCTTGACACTAACTATACTATTTGGTTGTTGTTGTCGTTCCATGGGATTGAACGTGCGATTCTCTCTTTATTTCCACTTCTAATCCCCCACCATCCTCATTAATCAAACTATTTGTCCTTCTGTAAGTTACAGAAACTGTCCCAATTGTTGTTGTAGTAGAGTTTTGGAAACTAAGCTTGTTGTCTCTATCTTCTGCACCTTAAAAAGGCTAAAGAGGGCCACTTGACCGTTTCATTTGTCACCTTCTAATCATGTATTCGTTGATGATAGCTTCACGATGATGGATGTACATTTGTCTACATTTGTAAGGGATTTACCCTAATATTTGGATCGTATGTTTATACACCTTGCTAACTTTGGTTAATAAATGAAATCTTTCCTGTAAACTTGCATACATGACTTTGATAATGTCACAGATGTCCAAAAATGTACGGTACTGAAAATACGTTGTTTGGGATACATGGATCCAAAATGCTTCCATTTCCAAGAAATCTCCTGTGTAATAAATTTGTTTTTCTTATGACAGCTTTTAAGCCTTTCGACTGTTAAGGCAACATGAACATGAGCCTTTGAGGAAGAAACTATGCCAAAAGAGAAATTAATCAAACACTAAAACTTAACTTTCAGGGCCCAAAATCAGGTCAAGTGCTTTAGAGGCTGTGGAAGGTTTTAGGGAAGGTGTTAGGAAGGTCCAACATTCAGATATATTTTTTATATAATATTCATTGTATCTGTATATATGCCAAGAATACCACAACCACCGTTTTTCAATTATTTTGTGATCATATATATTCATTATCTAGACAGCCGTTTATATTTTGAGGATTATATATTTTTCTATAATTTATGTAAGGTGCTGTTCTTGCCTTTTTTTTTTGTTATTTACATTCCTGTACATTACATAAATGGTGTAATTGTCTGATTTGGCAGGAAAATCTTGATAAACAATTACAAAACTTGAGAATATGTTTCTATTTATTCACTGCAGGTGAATTCAATAATTGTGATAACAATCTATCTATGAGTATGACACTTCATTCTGAAATCTCCCTTAAAGCCAGCCAGGCTATGATTATACCGTTCCGTCTTTGAAATTCGAAAAAGATCTTTGTTACAGAATTGTAGACAATTTTCACAAAGAGCCTACAACAAAGCTTGTATGACAGTACAAAGATAGACTTCAGCATCATAACTGGGACATATGGTTTACATTAGAGTTGTACCAATTGAATGAGTTAGTTTGTTCACAATAAACCCCTGCCTCGAGAACCCATCCTTACAGAGGATTTAATTCACATGCTATGATAACATCTTTATGGAAGGTATTCACATTGTCATTGTATCTGTTTATTGATTTATTGTTATGTTGTTTTGATGAAAATTGTTTGTAAAATATGAATATATCTTTAACAGTGATGTGGGTAATAATATGCATCAAACAGATCAGCAGCATCTTGCTCAAAAGGTTGTGAATTAAAAACAACTCCATAAATAAAATCAATAGTTTACTGTTTTTATATTGGTCCTTTTCAATGTAATAACTGATCAAAGCTTTCTAGTGTAAACTTCAAAACTCAAACTTGATTCTGCACCGATATTGCACATTCTTCGCTCCACTTAGCAGCAATCCAGCCTTGTGGCTATTTTACAGGGGCACCACACTCTATAGTAGACCCTACCAGGAGATTGTCTTTTTTTTGTTGCCAAAAGTGACTGACAATACCATATTGTAATTGATGGGGTTAATTTGACAACTTTTTATGGCATCAGGGCACATTTTTACATAGAATAGGCCCATCAAATCCCTTTTGCTGATGAGTGGAAAAATTACCTCTGATCAAAAGTGACTATAATGTTTTTTTGCCAAAAAAGTGGCCAAAATAACCAAAACATTGTGAGTAGGGTCATATTTTTGGAATTGGCACAAATTTCACTCCAGATAGGCTATTCAAAGCTTCCCCACCAAAATTCTGATTAAAATCTCCACAGCTGGTATTGATAGATGGGCTGTGAATTGTAAATCAGCCGTATTGTTCTTATTTGAAATTTAAGTGTCTTATTTTTTGAACTTCTTTAATAACAAATTTTTAGCAAGAGGCCCCTATGTATATCAGTTGTAGCACAGGCACTGCAACAAAAGCAAATAAAAGTCAATAGAAATTAGCAATGTTCATTTATATGAATTTAATGCTTTTATATACAAATATGTACAATATAAATGACTATTAAAAAGTATAAAAAGTGTATCAGTTTAATATATCCTGCTTAATAAGTTGATTCACAAAGAACTTAAGTTGAACTTACAATTATGGAAAGCCATTAGCATCTATGAAAATATTTTGCAAAAGTTGTTTTAAAAGGCATAAAATGTTGATTCAAATCATTCATATTTTCTATTATCAAGGAAATTTCATGTTCTTGGTGTGGAATTCGTAAAAAGTCTGAAATACTTGATTTTTTGCTTTTGAATATATTTTATTTTAAGGCTACGAATGGATATCCATAATTTTTAAGTCCAACTTAGAGTTAAGTTCGACTTAGGATCTTTGTGAAACACCCCTCAGCTCAGGTATGATATATACCTTGTGACTACTATTTTACACTTCTTGCAACACAGAGTAAATTCATTTAATCTTTAATTCACTATGTAGAGTAGAACCTTATTTAAGGGATCCGGTAACTTGTCTCAGATCCTTAAACACAATCCCCGAATTAGCTCATGCTGCAAACATAATTATAAACCTTAAAGTCATTCAGGAATTCCATGACCTTTAAAGGCTGATCAACTGTCTGATTATCAAGATATTTATGATTAAATATCGAAATTTCATTTCACGTTTTCCTAACGGTTTTCATAACACTACAGTCTATTGAGGAAAATGAGTACCGGTATGGTAAAACCGGTCATTCAAAGGTTTTAATTTTTGGAAGCACTTCATGATCATTTTGAAGCACAATTTTTTTAGGGCTTCATTATAACACCATATCACATACCCTGATAACACGTAGGGCCATGCATCTCAAATTAAACATTGTTAAACGATGCCTTTAAAGGGAAAGTCCACCCTGATATTAAGTTTTATTAGCAAAAAAAAAACAAGTTTGAGCTAAAATCGTTTAGAAATTTGAAAGTTATGAATTTTCAAAGGTGCCGTCTATCAAACACACATTGGCAACTCTGACGTATCTTGCAAGCTCCCCTCTCATTTACCTTTTACCAAACAACTTCATTTTTCATATTTTCCCTTAAGAAAATTGTTATCATTACACCAACCCTAAATAAGATCATTGCAAATATGTTTTTATACAACTCCTGTATGAAACAAATCTATTCCATCATCAATAACTAAGAAAATGAAAGCTAATGAAATTTGTTGTACAAAGCAAAATGGAGGAGCTTGCAAGATACGTCACAGTGTTGCCAGTTTGTCTTGTAATGATGACAACTTCAAAAATTGAAAACCTTCCTACTTAATCAGATATTGCTCAAACTTTCACTTATATTTTTGTCTCATTTTTCAGCTTTTCTTAAAGCCAACTTAATATCAGGGTGGACTTCCCCTTATAAAAGAACACTGTTGTATCAAAACTCTGTATAACAAGATATTTTGCAGCTTCCAGTTTTTTGTTTTCTACTTCTTTATCCCTGATGCAAGATTTCAACATATAACAGTTATCCTTGTGGTTCCCAAGGAGTCTGTTACAGCGAGGCTACACAAGTATATGAATACATGTATGTTCATTCCATGGAACCATACACTCTACATTAGCTTCACTACAGGCTTTTGGGAACTAGTAGTGAAAAAAGGACTGTCCCAGGTATTGGATTATTTCAAGAAATTACTACAGCAATCGGGAAAGTACCAATACCTTAAAAATAGTTACCGGTACTATTTACAGTAAAGCTGTAATTAGCAAGATGAAAAGTATGTTCTAGAGGTCAGGATATGTAATGGTATGGTATGGTTTGAAGAATAATCAAATATTAGAGTAGCCTTAAATTCAATACAGCACCTAAGCTGGTGGACATTTTGTAATCCAAGATGGCTGCTGAAACCTGAAAAGTAGCCATAGCCATGCTAGAGACATCATTTGTTTTGGTGTCAAAACCTAGGATTTATTTGGTAATATGAAAACATGATAGATAAAATAAATAATATTTGAAAACTAAAAGATCATATTACACAAAGGGGGCGGAACAATGACTATCTAAAATTCAGGAAGATCCATGATTTGATTATTTTATTGAGCTTTAAATCAGAACCCTCTCATTTCACACAATACTAATATTAACCCCTTACATGGAAGTCCTGCTTATATCTTCTTCACGAAATGGATTCAACCATGATTACATACATGTAGTCCATGAGGCATTGGTATTTTTAAATTGGATAAAAAAGAGCGATGATTGTTTTCACAATTTACACTTCGTAATGACAATACCATTGACCTTTGACATAGCCAGCCAGGCAGAGTCAGGATCCATCACGTAGCAGGTATTGAGGAGCATAACTGATGGAGGACCTTCTCTAGCTCGGTTATAGGAACTTGATCACATGATGCAGCAGCCTGATACATGAAACGGAATGAAATATATAAACAAGGATTTAAGATATACTTGACACCAAACTGCATCAACTGAAGAATGAGAGGTATTACATAGTTTAAAAAATAAAAAGGATGCGCCAAAATCAACAAGGGTAACAAGGCGGAAAGATACAAACAGACAGACAGACAAAGAAGTGCGAAGAGCATAGGAGTATAAGGAGGCATTAAAACCTGTTTGATCTATTTCAAAAGGATATATAATAATAATAATAATAATGGTGGCTTCTTGTATAGCGCACATGTCCATCACGTTGTGACGCTCCAAGCTCTGTTGTCCCATACATTAACAAGCCCGTGTAATAGTTTTGTATTCTGATCATTAAACATGTATTGCAGTAATTGCACTACTACAGCTAAGCTCACATGAAATATAAAGTAAAGTTTAAAATGTTCAGAACTTTCCAAGATTTAATGCACTGATATCAAATCACTGAATACCTTGGACTTCCTCCAATTTTTGTCAGATTCAAGACTTCTCGTAGTTTGAGCTGAGAGAATTGATATCACACATCCTATAACGAAAACATGCTGACCACTTCATCAATGAAGATTCCGCACTCATCATGACGAGATGTTGGTGAAAATATTGGCCACATTTCATTCTTCAACTTTAAACAAATCTAAAAAGACAGCTAATTATTTCATTACAATATTGTAAGATGTAGTTGTTACTTTTAGAGGGTTTTAATAAACTTTCTGTTTTTCTCCTTTGTAATATTGTCTTCCCATTGACTGAGGGAACTGGGTGGATCCTGTATTGAACCTATTGAAATGAGAGAATTCAGCATTCAACAGGTTAAAACACATTGCACCCTAAGCCAAGGTAGTACCTGATTGAATGCTTCTAGTTGGTGATTGATCTTCATTTGTGTCTTTCCAAGCTTTTGTCTCTGACCCTTGATAACCTCTTGGAGTCTGCTACCCTCTGCTTCTACTTCTTGTAGGACTCTCTCCAGCTTCTCTTTCTCCTTCAGCTTTTCCTTGTACACTTGCCTCTGGCAATCCTTCTCTGGCTCACCAGAAGGCCGCCTGCAAGGAACAAAGCAAAATACTGTAAGACCAAACTATATAATACTGTACATGCAAGAAACTTCTGAAAATGATCCAAATTTGTGGAAGTGTCAGATTCACTACAGCAAGTTTTTTTGGATTCATTTTTTGTTTTATTTTGTTGTTGTTACATATGAGGTGAAATATATTGATATAAAGAGCAGCGATTTTTCTCAGGATTAAGTTGACCTTCGGATAAGACCTATGATTGAATATGAATATCCTCTGCTTTCTATATTTATATAATCTTTCTCAGAAGCCCCACAACATCATAACATACAGGCAAATAAGAAGTAAAGTATAAACCAACAAATTTAAAAGACCTAATGAAATTTCTTCAAGATGTTTCCTGTGTTGAAACTGAATTCAGGCATTTCCTTTTGGGATATGTCCTAAAAACATGCTGGAAGATTTCAAGAAAACATCCGTCATTTAGTGTGATAAACTCGTCTCTGAGTTATTTCTCTGTTCTCTTAATTCTTTTAATCAAAGGTAAAAAAACAGAATGGTGTTATCACCTCTAAATTCTTGCATCTATGAAAAATAAATGCATCAAGTGTTTGTTTGCTATCCATGCCAATTTGGACCTCTTTCCTTTCATTTTATTTGCACATGCTGTACAGTATATTTTGTTGAAATTTTGGTTGGCACTGGATGCCATTTTCACTAAATGGCGTTAGTTCAAGTAAGTGCCTCATTCACATATAAGGCTGCAAAAAAACGGTGTTTTATTTTGTTTATGGTGACATAAGGTGCAGTGCGCTTCACAATTCCTAATTCACAATTTTATCAACAGAGCTCAATAAATATGCGAAGGACCTTTGTTGCACGCAGTTGTCATTCATTTACATGTTTAAAAAGGTGTGGCGGTTTACCGCATGACATCTAAACTAGCCTTGAGGCCTACATGTACAAGAGTATCCTGGATCCAGAAACAATACGTGGCTAGCCTAGAATAATAGTATATCTCACCATGCTACCGGGTTGCCCTCGTTGCTTGTCCCATCTATAAGCTTGTCAAGCTCATTGAACAGATGAACTAAATTCTCTTCATCAATCATCAGCTCAATCTCTTCCTGCAAAGTACAATGAACATAGTGTTAGACTACATGATTTAATGCTTATACCTGTATAGTGGTTTAACCACTTGACTGGGAATGCAAAGGTCATGGTTTAGACTAGAGCCCCCAAATGGTACTTACATCCTTGAGCAAGGCATTTTATACACATTGCTCCTCTTCGCCCAGGTCATCAATTCACTCTCATTTCCTTGATCTTAACTGATGAGTTTGAGGGTCTTAGTAATGGTAGATAACTCAGGATATTATAGAGTCGGCAGACTAGTTTGTTATGGTAGACATGTTGTTTATTCAACTACAACTGATACCGGATATTCGGATATCGCATATATATCGTAACATTAAATACATGCTGTACCTTGATGGATTTCTCAAGCTGTTCTTTAAATTGTTGCAGGAGACTCTTCAAGGCTTGTGGGTTCCTGTCTGCCATGTGCTTCCCATAGTGCCTGTTGAATGTGCTGAACCTAAGGAGATAATATTGTGAAAGAGCATGACACAGTAATCATTATCATCAATTTGTATTCATTTAAAAAATAGCTTTACTAGGCCCACCAGCAGACTTGCACTTTCTTGCAGGGAAAAGTCCCAGTATAGGATAGGAAGCATAATAGCGATTAGTTTAGTGTAGATTTAAAAATCGGTTTCTTATATCAAAATGCTATACCGGTAGATCTACAAGTAATAGACCAGTCTAGATCTACATGTAGATCTACAGCCGTTAATAAATAATAATAATAATATTCACAACTGAATTATAGGCGCCGTTTAAACTAAAGACGAAGCCAGGATTTTATTTTAGGCGGGGCGGTGCGAAGCATTTACAAAGCGCGCTCCCAAGGGGGGTGGGTGCAGGGAGGGGGAAGTTTCCCTTCTCCCACGCGAAGCACAGAAGCTTTGACGTTTCATTCAACTATTACAGAAAGAAGACGATTCGTTGTACCGTCCCCGACTCTTAATCCGTTGTTTGAATCAAGTTCCCCTTCCTCCGTGCATAGCGCGGAAGCTCCAACGTTTCATTAGATTAAGAAGATGATTCGTTGTACCATTCTCGACTCTTTATCCTTGTCTGAATTCAGTTTACCCCCTCCGCGCAAAGCGCTGAAGCTTTGACGTTTCATTAATTTATTAGAGAAAGAAGACGATTCGTTGTACCGTTCTTGACTCTTAATCCTTTTTCTTCCTAGATCCTCTACGTCCTCTTCCTTTCTTCTTTCTCTCTCTTTTTGTTTTGTTTTTTGGGGTAGCGTTTTTGTTTTGTTTTGGGGGGGGGGGGCGACTACCCCATCGCCCCCCCCCCCCGCCCCCCTGGCTACACGACTGAGACAAAGTAACATTAACAACACAACACACAACGTACGACGATCCCCGTGCCTAGTTAGCCTCAACGAGACGAGTTACTTGTAATATTAGCTAAGCCAGATAAGACTAGCCTTAAGAGCTCCCTCGAAATGTTTTTTATGATATTATTCAAGGGAGCCTTAAACGGCACCCATAGGGTCCCACGGAGAAGTAGGTAAACAACAACTAAAATGTGTCCAAAATCACACTTTCCCGCACCCGACCAATATTGGACAGTGGCTTTGATAAATTTTGTTTAATTGTAGTCCTGAGGGCCGTTTCTCGAAACCGTCATAACTACAAGATCAACGACATCTCGCCACTGTCACGCAACTTGTCAGCTAAGTGTTTCACGAAGCCGTCTTTGCCAAGATGAGCGACAACTTCCGTGACAAGCGAGTTGTCACTGCTCCGAACCTGTCATATCTTTTTAATTGCTGTAAAGCGCCATCACAAGTCAGTTTGTTGCCATTCAATGGGCCGCGAAATGGACGATTAGTTTCACTATCATTTTGAGAAAAATATAGACGAGTTCGGTACGTAATTCTCTGGGAGGCGAAATGCAAATGTACAAAAGTGAGAATACAAATTATACAGAAACTTTAAAAAGCTGAATATAAACATTAAATCACAAATCATTAAACTATAACATATAAATAAGAGAGGTAAGAATGTTACACACCGTTTTCCATAGTCGATCCATAGTCTTTTCTTAGGATACCGTCATACCTTTGGGGCCGATGTGCATTATTATTTCCTCTCTAATTACTTCTTCCAAATTACATTTTCAATATCAAATCAATTATATAACGAGTATTAATGAGACTCTAGAATAAAAACTGGCTGAGAAAAGACATTTTGCCTTTTATCCTTCAACTAACTTTTGATGCGACTGTCAAAAAAAAACACTCACCGGTTTTTCTTCAATTTAAGAATCTTTACAGAAATATGCAAATCGTATGGTGATCTACATTTGATAATGACACTATTTATTATTTATTTTAGGAGAATTTATAAGTAGATCTATATATTTCTTTTTCAACAATTTCAGCCCCAAAACTTTTGGGTTATTCTTGATAAATCAAATGGATCGTGACAAAGACTATATTCTTGAGCCGCTAGTATCGCGATATATCGATATCATGTCTGTCATGGCTTTGTGAAACGGTTTATCCGCTTCATGACATCTCCGTAGATCACCAACAAAGATATGACTGTCATGGAGTTGGTTTCGAGAAACGGCCCCCTAATTACCTCCTGAATTTAAAAATCGGAGGTAAAAATAATAAAATAAAAGCAATTTTCTTACTAGACCAAATTTTCAGTCTCTTTCATTCGTTATGCCTCTTATTTGGGTAGGGTCGGCTCTCTCTTTAGAGACGGAAGCCGACTGTAAGCATTCCCTTGCTATTTTTAGATTTAGACCCTGGCCTAGAGGTCTATGCCTAAAAGTATGGCCATATTTTTATGGAATTATGCCATGAAAATCCCCCCAAATGTCATTCTGACATTCTGACAGATCTGACCCCATCTACGCGACTGAGACAAAGTAACATTAACAGCACAACACAACGACGATCCCCGTTCCGAGTTTGCCTCAACGAGACGAGTTACTTGTAATATATTAGCTCAGCTCGATCCGACCCCATCTAGTCCTCCTAGCTCGCCTGTCGCCGTGTCGGCGCATTGCCGAAGGCCAAGACAGCAGCCAAACACTGCACCGGACGCGTCTTATTTTTTCGTACCACGGCGAGCCCGGATTCCCGTTTTATCATGAATATTCATTAGGCAGGGCCGGGGAAAGTCTCGATTCTCTTGAATATTCATGTATGATCGAGGCATGCGCAGCATCGAATATCGTGTGTAACAAGTACGTTGGATTAATGGCAGGCCTATAATATGACATAGAAAAGCAATGTCATGGTCATTTAGATAATACAGTCATAAATGCTGTGTTTAATTACTAGTAAATGCCAAAATGTCAGTACCGGTAGACAAGATATATAGCATATATTTCAAGTAAGAGTCTTGATAGGCAATTTGTGAGTAGCCTAGGCCTACTTTTCTGAGATTAATGGGAGTCTACTTCTTTTCATGAATTGGTAAATAATCAGTTCTAGGTTTGCTTTTTAAATATTACAAGCAGAGGTTGCATTATGGTATTGAATATGTGTTACAGTATTATAAACTGTATAAAATAGATAACAAGAATAGGCCTACATACAGACATTTATCAAAAATAAAATACTTGTGTATTGCACTTAAATTATTTCTATGATCTATGCTCACTTAACTGCATAAGGAAGAAAAGGAAGAAAGAAAAATGGGATTAGAAAGAAGAATAACAAAGTTAAAAAGTAAAATATATATAAATAATAAATGAATGGAAGAAATAAAGAATACGGAATAGATACCAAGGAAGAAAGAAATAAATTGCAAGAAAATTGAAATGAAAAGAAGACAAAAGAAAAAGGGAAAGGAGCAAGATAATATTGATACCATATCTTCAATCTTGTTTTCTTTTATCTTGCCTCTTGTTTTTGTTTAGGCCTAGCTACCATTTTTTCCTTTCCTTTCTCTTTTTCTCTTAAAAGTTCTCTTTGGTTTCTTTCTAAAATAATGAGGAAGGGGGGGGGGGGGGGGTGGGGGACTCGATGATAATTCATCATTTGAAGGTTTACAATGTGAAGTCCACGAGTTATATGCACCCACTGAAGAAAATCCATGTACAGGGTTGCTGCAGGAACCCCAGCACCCACAGATCCCACGCATGATGAGACAAACTCGAGAGAAAACTACACATTCTTTCACATACATTGAAGAAAAAAAAGAAGAAAAAAAATCCAAGATCGGTTGTACTCTTTTTGACCCCTCCCCAGGACGTCGATCAATTACATGTATGTGCCCCCCCCCCAAACTCTGGCTACGGCCCTGGCGATAATTACCCACTATTCAAATCTGACAGGTGCCCCTTTTTCTTCAACAAATGCCCCTTTAACCTCATAATAAGTGCCACTGTTCCATTTCCATAAGTGCCCCTTGTGATATCTGATAAAAGCCCTTTCATTTTTTTTACTTTGACACGCGTCCCCTTAAACTTTCTAACAAGTGCCCTTTTACCTTTTGATATGTGCCCCTTTCCCTGTTTAATAGGAGCCCCAAACCCAACCCTTTCTCATAAATGCCCCTTTGACACATGCCCCCTTTTCCTTTTTTTATAATTCCCCTTTTCTCTCTTTCTCTGTCTTTCGAAAACTATCTTCTGAAAGGTTTGTTCTCTTGACTGAGCAACCTGTTGCAATTCCTTTCTGTCTCACTTTCAGTCGTACTTGTTGCCACTCATTTGCATTCACTCGTTATCAACTACCATCAACCATTCCATATTCACTCCATTACTGTCCACATTTCAATTTCATTCTCTTCACTCTCCCTTTTTGCAGCCTTTCCAGGAGCTTTGCTAGAAGTAGAACATTTTTAATGTAGAGGCCAGAGAAACCGGAAAGTATGTTAATCATTTTATTCAAATATCTAACTTGAAAAAAAGGAAAGTGAAACATTGTTTAATTACAATATATTGACATAATTTTGTTAAAGAAAAAATTTGAATTTAAAACTGGAAATTTGTAATTGGTTTGCCAGCCCCCCCCCCCAAAAAAAAACACACTCAAAACACAACAGTGGTACCAGGGTTTTTGTTAGGAGGCCCATGTACTGTATAATTTTTATTATTAAGAATAGTTTTCTCTTTTTTATTAATTTGACATTGGCATACCGTAAATTTCACCAGGAACCCCCCCCCCTCCCGACACTGCCATTACTTCTACCAACAGTAATGCTATAATTCAAAATTTCACTTTCTAAATCCTTCTAATATAAACATATAATCATATTTGTACAGAGGATAAGATAAGAGGATAGCAAGCCCCCCCCCCCCCCCCCCACTCCCTGTTTTCTTTAGTTGGGAAGCATCGAAACATGATTCTATGAAAGCTACCAGTTTGGATACGAAAGGCAATGAGGATTAGCAGTTTCCATATTTAATGCATTTAGAGTGTTGTCTTTCAAACCTTCTTACATACAATACTTGAAGTAGCAATAATTTCATAATCTACAAAACTTCCCATACAGAAGTCCATAGAGGTAAATGAATTTTAACATGTATAATTATAATCAAAATATCATTGATTAATTCAATCTTTGATATAGACTGATAGACCTTTATCAATCAAATTTGAAAGAGAATCTTTCTGCCCAGTCCTCAGTTTCATCCTATAAGATGGTAGTTGACATTGTTAGAATTTTAATGTTTATTCGTTGAGGATTAGTTATCTTTAATTATTTGAAAGTCGACATTCAAGATGATAAACTTCATTAGCTTTATTGAATGTAGTATTCTACAAACATATAATACAAATAACAAATAAATATCATGTAAATATTCCAGTTTAAACCCATCTCTATTGTCCTCTTTCATTATATGAGGGTGGCATCTTTAAGACGTAGTCTCGTGTAGATATCTTCTGCATCCATCACTAAAGTTGTAGCCTAGTTTTCAGAAAAAAATATAACCCAAGTCTGTTGAATGGAAAAATGAAATAAGATATAAAAAAATCAACAATGACTAATAACATACACCCTGATACCTGCTCAGAAAAAGGAAGGACTGAAATTCACTTGGGGTTCTAGTGGGCAAACCTAAACTATTTTTTGTACAAGACTAGTTTAAATACTGACCGCATCTTAAATTATTACTGATGATCCCATTAAGACGATAGGCCTGCTGGAGCTCGGATCAGACAAGGTATGAAATAAGTAATACAATGTAATACAACTCGTGCTCATACCGGTAATTGAATAATACTCGGTTAAGTATGGGACATAAAATGACCAAACAACTTTGACCAGAGAATGTACTGGAAATAATGCTACTGAAACATACGTAATGTAGACTTATATTTCATCTATATTGACATTTAATTTTTAATCTAAATTACAATTGTGATATTAAGTCAATTATTCTTTTACAAGTCAACTGACAATGAAAAATATCTGTTTCAGATCTATAATTTTCTCCATGACATTTGTTCCACAAAAATTTATTGGGGGTACCTTCATGTATATTAGCACACTTGCTCGTATGAAGTGTAGTAGGCCCGCATCTCTAGATATGATCCCGTCAACATCTGTTCTTTGTTCCTCTCCTGAGTTTGCAAACCAGAATGCCTTCATCATCCACTGTAGAGAGGCATCATCCTACATGAGAGAAAACAAAGTAGGTACATGTACTTCAATTAAAAACTGATACTGATGGATACATATCAACCATAATACATCCTATAAACAGACTTTTATCAATCTTATTTTGTGTTCTTCTTCATCTTCATTGCTCAAGAAGTGAAAGTACCCCTTACAAAAAATAATAATGAGGGGTCCTGTGTATACCCTACATGTAGTGCTTACAATGTACATTTGATATGGCTCTTCTAAACACAGGACCTCCTGTAAATAAGGACAAATTTTCCTTTGTAAACATAGAAAGAAAAGACATCAATATTTGTATACTAGGTGCAGAACTAGAATAAAATATACCCTCCACTATATATGCTTGCAATGTCAACTTAGTTCCATTTCCTTTTGAGTGAATTAATAGGTGGTCGTTTAATATGTGTGTGCTAAATAACCTGATAACTGTACCTGCATGGGACTTTCTGCTTCATCTTGCAAATATAAGAGATGTTGTAATGTCCTCCTTCCAGCTCTTCAGTTTCAATCTTTTGGAACAAAAAGAAGAAGAAAATCAATACGACAATCAAGGCATCCCTTTCTCCTTAACAAAATAAAATAGATCTAGCATAATTCAAATTAATAGATATTTTTATGTCATGGTTGGCCTTAATTTTAATATGGTGTGGAAATCAACATTCCTATTTAATGAACCACAGTACAAAGTAAAACTAAATGGAAGATTTAACTTGTGCATCAAACAGTGGTTTCTATGGCCTATGAACACGAAGCAGTACTAAGTAGAATTAGTTTATTATAACAAGAAGAGGTGGACTACATACCATATAAGCAGAGGCGGCGCTCCGAGAGGGGGGGGGGGCAGAGTGCCCTCCCATTTGGTCAAGTACCCTAAAAGTGCCCCTTTTTGCATAGGAAAAGTGCCCCTTTTTACATAGGAAAGTGCCCCTTTTACTCTGACAAGTGCCCCTATTAAGTTTTTAAAGTGCCCCTTCCCCTTTTAATAACTACCCCTTTTAACTTGGATAAGCGCACCTTATATCTTCACATGTGCTCCCTTTCATTTTTAATAAGTGCCCCTTTTTCTTATAAGTGCCCCCATTTAAAAATAGGCCCTTTCCCTTCTCATAAATGCCCCTTTTCATCTATGAAAATAGTTCCTTTTCATTCTCTTAAGTGCCCCTTTTCATCTCTTGTAAATGACCCTATTCACTTCTGAGAGATACTTGTTTTACTTTGACAAGCACCCCTTCCCCTCCTAGTCAGTACTCTTTTCATCTCTTATAAATGCCCCTTTTATTTTGACACGTCCTCCTTTTCCTTCCTATATAATGCCTTTTTTCCTTATAAGCAACCTTACCCCTTATCATAATTACCGGTACCACTTTTCGTCTTTGATAAGTGCCCTGTTTATTTAAACATGTGCCACTTTTTCTTTTTAATAAGAGCCACTTCCCCTTCTCATTACCGTTTTAACAATGATATGTTCCCTATTTCCTTTCTTATAAAGAACCTATCCCTTTTTCATAAATGCCCCTTTTCACTGCTTATAAATGCCCCCTATCAAAATCTGATGGGTGCCTCTTTTCCGTCGACAAATGCCCATGTTCTTATCATCCCTGGTGCATGCCTCTTTGTTTAGGTGTAAGAAGTGCCCCATTTTCACCTCTGATAATTAGCCTTTGTACTTTGACACATGCTTCTTTTCTTTTCTGATAAGTGTCTTAAACCTTTCGATAAGTGTCCCCTTTTCCTCTCATCATTAAACGTGTCCCTAATTTCAAGCGACTAAAAGCAATTTCCCACAAAGCTCGCTCGCTACGCTTGCCCATAGTTATAGATGTTATAATTATGTAACTTATCACAGATCTATTCAGTCTTCCGTTATGAGATTGTGCTTATATAACCCCATCAGGATTGGGTTTTCCTCTTTATAAGATGTAATTTTTCGCACTGCAAGCCAAAAACTGCAAAGTATGATACTTAAGCAATATCTTAAATGCTGTATTAAGAGAAACAAATATTGAAATCATCCCTGATAATGTAATTACAAAATAGGGGTATATACCAATGTCAAAAAAATGGTATATTTTCCCTCTGAAGGTGCCCTTTTTTCAAGAAAGTGTCCTTTTTGTTGGTGCCCCCCCCCCCACTTTGGAAGTTGCTCCGCCCAAAGACTCCGCCGCCTCTGCGTATAAGTAAACATAATTGTCGACTACCCTAGGGGTCTTCTCTTATACAACGTCCAACAAAAAATAGATTTATCAAATGAACTGCACACTTTGGAGAAGAAAAAATCTTTAATATAGGTCTAGATCTAGATCTAGAAAAGTTATGACAACTTGACAAGCACACTGGACACACACAACATCTGAACATTAAATAAATGAATCCTAGGTCTAGTTTGTTTGTTTTTGAATATTTTTATTAATAAGTTCCAGGTTTACGTCTAAATGAAATATGGTTTGGAGCCGTTTGATTATCCATGGTCACAAACAATTTTGGTCTAAAATTTGACACGCACCAATGATGCAACTGAGCGAACGGATAGCACTTAGTCTTACTAGTATAGCCAACAGAGTCGACATCTACTAAAGATATAAACAAGAATTAACCCTCTTGGATTATTAAAGAAATCATACTTCATAGATTATTTTAAGGTGTAACGTTAAATCTAGATTTAAATTCAATGGATGATTGGTGAATTAGATTCACGATGACGATCAAATTTGGAATAAAACCTGATCAGAAAGTTTTATCTTGATGCAGATGAGCACCGAAATTCCCCAACGTGGGCCTGCCGGAACCCCGGGGCTCTAAAGGGTGACATGAAGGCAAACCGCAGTCAAACTACTTCACGACGATGAAAATCAAAGTGCAATTTCAAGAGAAATATTTTCCTAGCCTTTTCCCCACAAATCTGTTGAGAACAGTCTCAAAATGTAAAGAAATTACAGTAGATCACGAATTACAGCTTTTTCAAATTAATGACTAAATTCTCTTAATCTACTGATATTTCAATCAATTACTCACCCATATGCATTCTCCGTGAACTAAATCTTCTCACTTTGTGCGAGTATAGCGCGCGTCGTGCATTCCCACCTCGATATGAATATTTAAGAGAATCGAGACTTTCCCCGACCCTGCCTAATGAATATTCATGATAAAACAGGAATCCGGCCTCGCCGTGGTACGAAAAAATAAGACGCGCACCGGACACTGAGGAGAATGTGAACTCAAAAACGAATCTACTCACTTGGCCGAATCAATGCATTTTTGGATTGTTTTCCTCAGTGCATCCCTGAGGTGCATCATCCGTGCTCCATCAGGCTCACCTGGAGGATCACCTGCTACTGAAGATTCGTTTGCAATCACTTGTTTTTCGTCCTGATTTTGTACGAGACTTTTGTCGCCTTCAGAATCACCTTTACAAGTCGCCATTTCGAATTTCCCGCGGGCGCCGGTGACGAGCGGCCGAACGCGCGCGCAGTAGCACGCAAACAACTCGTAACTACTTAGATGATAGCTCCTTGAAACTGGCGACTAATAAAGTGGAGGCTAGCCATAGTGTCTCCGAATCGTCCAATCAAGGAAAAAGACAAATTTGCACTGAGTCGCGGCTAACTTCAACAAGAGCTCAACGAAAGAGAGGATATTTTATTTAAGAAAGGCAAGGGCTTCTTGTATTGAACTTATAAGAACGCTATAACTCACCACTTTTGCAATTTTTTTTTTTGGTGAGTCCGGAACGCAAAAACATAACTTAGCGCGACCCTTGCCTATATCGATTTTAAAAACAAATTTGCGACAAAGATATGTGAGAGGAAGAAATATGGTACTTACTTGTATTATATTTCAAACAAAAAAATTGTCTTTCACTTATAAAATGTACTCATTAAAATAAGGGACCAACGTTCAATTTCTAATCTTTAGCAAGTGTCTCATTTGAATGAAATATTGCTTCAGACCATGATTTATACGTCATTAAACAAACATAATACCTGCCAGGCTGCCAGTGTCACAAATAAGGTATCATTATGCTTATCTGATCGTTATTAAATGTCTAAAACCCAGACGCACTCATAAGTGCCCCCTTTTTATTTTGAAATGTACCCCGGCCTTTTCCCTTTCTAATAAGTGCCCCTTTTCTTAATGATAAATTCCCCTTTTTTAAATTTGTATAAGAGCCACTTCCCCTTCTTATAATCCCACTTATATGACACCTCTGATCAACGGTGTCGATTTGTATCTGTGGTTGGGGGGGATGATAAGTGCCAAAATATTTTCGGCAATGGATCAAAGCAACCATGAGGTAGAAGCGTGTGGCAGGTTGCACCCCTCCCTTCCAAGTTATTAACTTTTTCAAGTCACCCTCAATAAAGATAACATTTCAGAGAATATGGGCTTGCTACCTGGGTTATTATCCTCTCAAGCGCGTAGCGAGGATTTTATTTTAGGGGGGCGGTAGTGAGCACGCAAAGCGCGCTCCCTAGGGGGATGGGTGCAGGGAGGGAGTTTTCCCCCGTCACGCGCGAAGCGCGGAAGCTTTAATGTTTCACTAAATTATTAGAGAAAGTAGCCAATTCGTTGTACCGTTCTCGACTCTTAATTCTTGTTTGAATTCAGTACTCCCCCCCCCCCCCCCATTCCCGCGCGAAGCGCGGAAGCTTTGACATTTCATTAAATTATTGGAGAAAGAAGACAATTTGTTTTACCGTTCTCGACTCTTAATCCTTGTTTGAAACAGGTTCCCCTTCCACCGCGCGTAGGGCGGAGGCTCTGACGTTCATTAAATTATTAAAGAAAGAAGACAATAATATTCGTTGTACCACATATCAATTCCTTCGCGCTCCTTTTGGGAGATCAACCGACCCGCGCGCATTTTATATTACATGACATATGGTAAAATTCTCGACATCTTTTTACACTTTTCTTTACCATTAAAAATCGAAATTGAGAATAATATCCTCAATCGAGATATGAGAAGAAGGAAACATTTCCTTTACATTCCATGTAAAACCATGCCCTTACTTGAAAAAAAACCTCCGTCACTTTGACGTTGAACTTTACAATCCATTTAAAAAAAATTACTCTCTCATACACAATGTCAATGGATCGGTCGCACTGTGCTCGATTGCCTTTCAATAAACCAATCTTTAACTTTGCAGCAACGCGTTTTGCGTCAAATTTGTAAATCCTCAATCACAGACAATGACATATGATACGTAAGCTTTTCATACATATAAATTTCATTTTGATTGATTCATTTTTAGCTCCGTCATTTTTCATGTCAAATCATGCTTCATGTCCCATTTTAGAAGCCCGACCCAGGGTTTTGTGCCAGCTAGCCGTAATGCTATGCATACACATATAACTGAACATGCATAAGTACAGTACATGTACACACGCAGCGCAGCGCGTACGAGCGCACTGCACTACATTTCATTGGGTCAGTACCATTATGAAAATAGGGTAACAATGAGTGGGATGGGTTTAGTGCCGTCACAATAAACTTGCGCATTACACGCGTACGTACAATTAGAGCAATTTATGCACCCCCAAGAAATAATGAATACAGCCCGACCTCTCTACACACAGAACTGCACAGATACCGCACAGTCCGGTCAAGGCGGTACGCGTAGCGTTAAACTGCCAAATTTACAGAAATTGTGAGGAGCGCTTTTGCTATGAAAGGAATTGATATGTTTTCGACTCTTAATCGTTGTCTGAATTCAGTACTCCCCCCCCCCCTCCCCATTCCCGCGCGAAGCGCGGAAGCTTTGACATTTCATTAAATTATTGGAGAAAGAAGACAATTTGTTGTACCGTTCTCGACTCTTAATCCTTGTTTGAATCAAGTTCCCCTTCCTCCGCGCGTAGCGCGGAGGCTCTGACGTTCATTAAATTATTAAAGAAAGAAGACAATTCGTTGTACCATTTTCGACTCTTAATCCTTGTCTGAATTCAGTTTCCTCCTCCCCCCCCCCCTTCCCGCGCGAAGCGCGGAAGCTTTGGCGTTTCATTATTAGAGAAAGAAGACGATTCGTTGTACCGTTCTCGACTCTTAATCCTTGTCTAAATTCAGTTTCTTTTGACGTTTCTTTAAATTATTAGAGAAAGAAGACGATTCGTTGTACCGTTCTCGACTCTTAATCCTTGTCTTAATTCAGTACCCCCCCCCCCTTCCAGTGCGAAGCGCTGAAGCTTTGAGGTTTCATTACATTATTAGAGAAAGAAGACGATTCGTTGTACCGTTTCCAACTCTTAATCCGTTTTCTTCCTACGTCCTCTTCCTTTCTTCTTTCTCTCTATCTCTTTTTTTTTTGGGGGGGACGACCGCCCCACCGCCCCCCTGGCTACGCACCTGTATCCTCTCTGTCTCTTATTATCTCTTTCTCCCACTCTGTACTTCTGTTTTGCACTTTTGCGCTTCGCGCTTTATACATTTAGCTTGTTGCTTTTTAACGCTGCGGCTTTGCATTTGGCGCACTGCATTTTTATGTTGCTGTTGATTGAATAAATTGAATACATTCATCAATTCCTGATGAAGCCGTATGAGCGAGAATTCAATTTATCCTTGTCTCATATCCATGTACGGTTGTCTCATTTACGTATGTATTATGAAAATGATATAGCAAAATGTGTATATTGATGGTCATCTTGCGAGTAATAACCATTAACTACTCTCATTGTGCTCTCTTCATTAATTTTTTTCTTTATTTTTTTAAATTTTGTATGGTGAATTATTGGGGGGGGATGATTGTACAGGCCACCCCCCCCCCCCACCTGAAATATTGGGGGGATATATCCCCCCATCCCCCCCCCCCCGGATCGACACCCATGCCTCTGATAGATGCCTCTATTAAAATCTCATAGATACCCATTTTCCTTCGACAAGTGCAAATTTTACTTGATAATAAGTGCCTCTTTCAATCCGCACAAGTGCCCCATTCATCTCAGGCGATCATTGCCCCCTGTACAGAAGTGTCCTATCTCTGATAAGTGCACCTTCACCTCTTGTGCCCCTTTTTAAATCTGAGAGGTGTGACGGTGTCCCTTATAGTTTGACAAGTAAGTGCCTCTTTTCCTTTGTATGCCCTCTTTTCATTCTTATAAGTGCACGCTTTACATCCCCGATAAGTGCCCTAATTCAGATTTTAAGAGGTGCCCCTTGAACTTTGTAATAACTGCCCCTTTTCATCTCTGATAAGTTCTTTTTTTTTTGTTTTTGACACGTGCATGGCCCTTATCATTTCTAGTTAATGCCAATTTCCTTCTGATAATTCAAATATTTACTTTGTAATATTAAGTCCCCCTTGCCGTTGTCATCACTCATCAGTGCCCTTTTTCATCTCTGATGAGTGCCCCTTATTAAGTGCGAGGAATGCTCCATTTCACCTCTGGTATTTTCCTTCTTACTTTGACAATAGTGTTTGGAATTAGATTATGCAACAAGGAGCAGAGTTGAAGCCCCTCTAAAGTGTGTTGGGGAGCTACAAATTCCCCAAAACTTTGTGGGGCTCCCAACTCTTGAGAGGGGCTTTAAGACACTCGAGATCATTAAGCGATGTTTGCAAATATAGGAGCCGTATAGGCATATGATCTGGATACCTTGGCACAATGAGCATGACAAATTCCATATAGGTTACATGGGCATGCGGGAGTCAGCCCGGTTACCATCCACATCAATGCTAGAATGAATTTGTATGATATTTCGTTGATTAACTATAAGGGTAAAACATTAATAGGTAATAGTACGCAGCAAGTTCACACAATCTTTTTTCATTTAATAAAAAAAAAAATTGTACGCACTGGCGACAATAATATTATTGCTATTTTTCTTCAAAATTAATGTTTACCGACTGATTTCTCAACTCTTGATTCTCATAAAAAGTTAACGATATTGTGACTAGGCTGGATTTAACGTGCTATACGTATCAAAAGACGGTCGACAAACGATGTAGCGTGGTTTAACTATAAACCTACTTAATAAGTCTATAATCACGTTCTCATACGGATTAAACCTTGGACATAAACTAGGTTCTTCGTTAGTCCGTCAAGGCTCCAACGAAGAACCTAGGTCATGTCCATCATCAATCACAACCGTTGGAACGTACATGCCGGCAATGACGCATGCCAACAACTATATTGCCTGTAACCGCCGAACACTAATGCACTGAATATACATTTATCTACCCCAAGTTCATGATACAAAGTTAATTCACGGTTACAAAAATTATATTTTTATTCTTCTCGAAATCCACATACTACAGTTCGTATGATTTGAAGAAGGTTGTGATGACGAAGCCTATTTAAAACAAAACAAGTTCATTTTGGTGAGTTTTGATTTGTGAGGACTGCAATAAGAACGGGTACATTATGAATTCACGGTGAAAAAATGATGAATTTTCAATAATCGATTACAGTTAGTAGTATGTTATGAATATTCATGGCAATGCATGATCTTTGTAAACATAGT